GTTTTTTTTTAAAAAAAAACTCTCCCCCCCCCCCCATCTATTATCAGAACCGACGGATCCCATCCCGGCAGAACCGACCCGGTCTAATACATCAGGATGGGGAGCAATTCTATTCAGTTTATTTCTATAGCTCCAATTCCCATTAGGTCATCTCAGGTCACTGTATAGATCCAGAATAACTAGATCATCCATTGGTTTAAGGTTTTCTATCCGGGGTAAACTAATACCTGGAGCTCTTTGATAAGGTTCTGACCTGCGTTATCAGCAGAACCCCCTCGGATGGACCGGGTCGGATGGACCGGGTCGGATGGACCGGGTCGGATGGACCGGGTCGGATGGACTGGGATCAGCTCCGTGGTTCTGGTTCCGTCCATGTGGATCTATTTTCTCTTTGCTTTGAAGGAAACGGTCAGATAGAACCAAAGAAGAACCCGTTCAGAACCAGAATCTGCTCTTTGGACTTTAACTGAAATATCTGACCCAGTTTCAGATCGGACCGCAGGAGGATGAAGCGGTTCTGTGACCCGTCAGAACCGGTTCTGGGAGGTGAAAGCTTTAAGCGGTTTCCATGTCCTCCTCTTTCAGCGGTTCCTCTAAGCTGCAACGCGTTGAATGTAGAAATTAAAATGTTTTCATTTCCTACTTAAACTGAGCTTTAAGTTGATCGTTTGGACTTAGTCTATATTTGAGTTCTTCCACATGCATTTATAGAAAGTTAAAAATGAATAAAAAAATCCTATGACAGTTTTTAGATCTATTTTGCTAACATGGGTTATTATTTCAGAGCAGAGGAAAAGTCAGTATCTGGATGTTATTTATGAAAAATGAAGCAACATATTTATGAATAACCTGGAGACATTTTGTTTTTTAATTCAAATGAGGAGAATTTAATATATTTCTAAACACGGAGTGGCTTTCTACTAACGAAAAGGAAAACAGAAGTTTTATTTATCAGAGTTATGGCCACTTTTCCCACTTTCTACTCCAGCAGCTACAGAAAATATCTGAATATTTTTAGAAATTGGAGATATTTTAGCCAGAGCAGCGATTTTGTGCCTCAACTGTATTTTTTATTGCCCCGCCCCCCACCCCCCCGTTACTGACTGAATCATCCCTCATTTCCTCTGTAATCTAAACCCGCTTTTTCTGATCAAAGAGTAAAAAGCTCTGAGTGAACGAGGCAGCTGTGACCCTCTGTGGCCCCCGGCCCCCCAGGGGCCCCTTTCATTCACACATTTCCTCAGTCTGATCGATCCATGGCAGCAGAACCGGGTCGGCCTTTCTGATCCGCTCCTCCTGGTGCGTCGATTGGGTGGAGAGCGGTGCACTGTAGATCTATGTAACTAGATGCAAACACACACACGCACACAGCAGATTCATTACCGTAGTAGATTGCATGTATATTGTATGGTCTGTTAGACAGGAGCGGCGTGCAGGCGGCTGCAGACGGCGGCGCCTGGACTCCTCCTCCGCTGTAGATTTTCATAGCTGGTCTCTTTAGAGAAGCTGAGGCGGTTTGGACCCTCAGACCGGGTCAGAACCCCCTCCCCCATTTCAAAGGTGGGGGCTGACCCGGCGCTGCCGGCCGCTCCGCCTCCTCCAGAGAGACCGACGCAGTCCGACAGTTTGTCCTGGGTAGCGTTTCCACTTTTCCAGCACAGTAGAGTGTTTCATGCCGGTCTAATAGTGATAGTAGTGCATTAGTTTGGGTCGGCAGCAGCCGGCCATAGTTTCTGGTTTCTCTGTGAACAGTGAGGGAGGGTCAGCGCTGCGGCGGCGGCGGACGGGAAGGAAGAGCTTCTGTTACAGTGTGCCGTGCCCTCGCCGGGCAGCAGATACTGCAGGTTTATTTCTAGAGCACATGTTCTTTTGTGGATGACATTTTTATTCTGATGATTATCGTATCTGCGCCATGTTAGTTCTGGTTCTGTTATTTTTCCAGATTTCAAATGTATTGTAAATGTTTCTAATAAAAGGAAATGATCCAGCTGAAACAGACTGAGCTTTATTCCCTCCATAGATGTTAATATTTCAGATCACTTCCTGCCTCTAACTGGGAGAACTGGAAACACCAAAGATAATTTCTACCAAATCTGTTTTATTTCTCCATGTGGGTCCAAATATACAAAGAGCCAAAATAAAAAGGTCTTCCCCCACCCCACCCCCACCCCAAACAGGAAGTAGAGACTAGAGAAAGCAGGGCCGACCTGAGGGGCCCATTAAGCCCAGTTCTCTTCCAGTTGCAGCCAACAGAGAGGAAGAGGAGGAGGAAGAGTTCCAGGAAAACAAGCTGGGATGAAGAAGAGCTGCTCTCCCTGCATCATCATCATCACCATAGTGTTTACAGCAGCCAGAGGTTTGGGTCAAAGGTCAAGCTTCTTCCTGCCAACATGCATGCCCCCGCCCCCCATCCCAACATGAAGGTTTGGAGACAAAGGGCTGAAGGGGGTGGGGGGGATTGCTGAGCGAGTCCAGATGGAGCAGAAGCATCTGAACTCCATCGTTTCATTTATGAACGATTCATAGAAAAGAAATAAAGAATGAAAAGAACATTTTTTGTTTTTAGTGTAGAAACAGGAAGTTAATAAATACAGAGAAGGAGAAGATGGAGGAGCCGCTGCAGCAGAAGGAAGAGTCCATTAGCATGGTGGACATCACAGCTTCTTCATGACCCGTCATTAAGGCCCTCACTGATCCTGGCCATCTTCATCACTGCTCCTCCTCCTCCTCAGCCCCCAACAGGACAAACCCTCCGCCCCGTTTGTCCGCTGAGATGAAGGAGGACGTCAGCGGCGGGTCTCAGTTGTTCTGGCAGCAGGCGCCCTTACTGGACGAGCTCTGGGTGGGCTCCACTGTGATGGGAACCACGTTGGAGGCCGGCGAGAAGTCCGAGCTTCCCTGTCCAGACATCTGCCTCTGGGAGACGATGTTGTAGATGGCTGTGAGGGAGAGAAAGAGAGGTGAGTGACCAGCAGGGGGCAGAAACACACTGGCGTCCACTAGAGGGCGCCGCTATTGGTCCTAAACTGGAGACTGGCTGGCATTAGCCTTAACAGAACCATGAACGGATCCAGAACTTTCTGTGGTTCTGAAAAATCCCTTCGGTTCTCCTGAATCGGCTGCATGGAGGAGCAGCAGAACATCTCTGACTAGAAGGAAACGAATACAGAAGATTGGAAGCTAGCAGTTAGCATGCTTAGCTCAGAGGAACCAGAACCGCCTGTTTAATCAGCGCCAGGTCTGTCCCAGTACTGACTGCAGAGAGCTACCTTACTGTTAGCCTCCGCTTCATTGGCTGACAGTACGTCAGAGCGACGTACCCTGTCTATTAACCATAGCTCTACATCTCTATTCAATCTATTTATTACTTCTAAATATGCTTAACGATTTATCAAAAACATGTTTTTGATCATTCAGGCAGTATTAGCGGCGTGCAGATCGATTGGACGATTCCCATCGAAGTTTGTGATCTCTGATCAGTCTGTTGTTACCAATCGTCTGTATCTTCTACATCTGCAGCAGATCTATGAGCCATTTTCTGTGACCTGAGCGTGCAGGGAGAGAGATGGGATGTGCTTAAACTCACACACAGATCATGTCTGCTTGGTGCTCAGCTCAGCCTTCCTGCTGGGCACCATATGCTGCACATCGTTAGAGAGCTAACTGCGTGCTCAGACGGCTAACTGGGCCTCAGACGGCTAACTGCGTGCTCAGACGGCTAACTGCGTGCTCAGACGGCTAACTGCGTGCTCAGACGGCTAACTGCGTGCTCAGACGGCTAACTGCGTGCTCAGACGGCTAGCTGGGCCTCAGACGGCTAGCTGGGCCTCAGACGGCTAGCTGGGCCTCAGATGGCTAACTGCGTGCTCAGACGGCTAGCTGGGCCTCAGATGGCTAACTGCGTGCTCAGACGGCTAACTGGGCGCTCAGACGGCTAACTGGGTGCTCAGACGGCTAACTGCATGCTCAGACGGCTAGCTGCATGCTCAGACGGCTAGCTGCATGCTCAGACGGCTAGCTGGGCGCTCAGACGGCTAACTGCATGCTCAGACGGCTAACTGCATGCTCAGACGGCTAACTGGGCGCTCAGACGGCTAACTGGGCGCTCAGACGGCTAACTGGGCGCTCAGACGGCTAACTGGGCGCTCAGACGGCTAACTGGGCGCTCA